ACGAACAAACCACGCTGCGGGAAGCTGGTTGCCACAATGGTTCATTTCTACTCTTACGAATGACTGCAATCCACTTCTCTTTTAGATTTTGATCTCGATTAGGAAATCGTAAAAAAAACGTATAATATATAATGTGTATTGCATCCCAAAAAATTATACGAATACATAAAGAAAAAAGATAATGAAGATGTTTCGTGTCATTGTTTATCCATGCATTACAATATTCGAATAATATAAAAGTATGCTACGCAATGTATTTAATAAAATAACGTTACGTTATATTTCACGCTACCCAACAAAAGGGTAAAACTGTAACGTATAATCATGGCAACATTTCATTCAGGTTTTGTTTACAAAGCGACAACCTCAAATTTGATTTTGATTAATTGAAAATATTAGTTTATAATTTTTCTTACGTATGAAATGTGATTCCATCCTGTTTTTTATTCTTGGAAGATTGGTTTCTACGCGTTTTCACTACACAATTCGGCATTTTCTCTAATAAATATTGTTTTTTATTATCACGTCGCACTCCGCGCGCCGGGATATCTCGACTGGGAAGCCAAGGCGTAGTTTCGTTGCATGTGTGTGCGTGTAACTGTGTATGTACACGGCGAGGCGTAGTTTTATCGGCTTCACTTTATTGTTCGGCAGACTCCGTCTATACTTTTTATTTGGTCTGAGATTAAAAACATAAAAGTAATGAAGCTACTGAATATATGGCTATAGAACCTAAATCTCTTAGCTTTCTTTGGTTAACGAGAGTTTAAAAATTCTCTCTAAACTGTGGCTCATTCACAATCATCACACAGTTTCTGTCACAGAGTACCTTATTATAACCGGAAATGACATGATTTTAAAAGTTACTTTTATGCATTAACTTTAAAAACAGGCAACTATCTGTTAATCTACATGCTCTACCTGAATCTAATCCATAATTTCGGTACTTGGCTTGATTTCCCTGGTTTACTATATAACTTATTTGTTTTTTATTATTTTAATATGTTCAGTGTATATGGTTTATAGAAGTTCTCAAGGGTGTCCGTCAATAATATTCGTTTCTACAGTAATTTATATATAATTTCGAATCTAGGAAACAATTTTTCATGATTATTGGTCTTTAGGCCAAACATGTATGGAAGCTGAGCAAAATCCTTTCAATAACGTATACTACAATGGCTTATCAGCGAAATTTAAAACGGGTTGCTTTCTGTCTTTGCCCAATATTCTCCAAACACAGTCATCCCTTAATATTACAGTACCTTAAAACTTCTTAAGAAATTAAGAATGGTTCCATATAATAGAAAATTCACAAGCAAGATGTATATCAACAGTACACCTAAGCACTTGTTACTCTAAAAGTTTTGTAAAAGAAATTAGTATAGATGGTTACGGGCAGTGATGTTTTCTTAAAAATCTCTTCAGTGGTGTCGTGTGGGGCGGGTTGCGTAGCAATAGCTGGTTCATGCGTCATGCTCGTGAACGGGTGCTGCCAGCAGAGATGAGTCTACTCTATACTACTTTATTATCGAAATGTTATCTAATTTTACCTAATATAAATACAATTTGTATTTATAATTTTTATTTTTAAGCATGTACTTAACTGCTCGATGATTAAATCTAAAGAAAATATTAGGTACTAGAAATATATATATATATAATACAATAATATAACAATTTGTATTTACTTAGTGAAACAGCAATGACAATGTGAGTGGACATGATTTTATGTAAATGTTGCTACTTCTGTTAAAAACTGAATCTTGCGCCCATTCTTTTCATCAGCTAAAATATGTCCATTACGAATTTTTGCTTATCAAACAATGTCACTACCGGGATTCGATCTGTTTATTTTTTTAACACATTTGCTCATAAAGTGCACTTTCGGAGGTTGTATACATTGTTCAAAAGTTCAAAATTACGGGACATACAACGGAGCGTTCGGTAAAACATTTTACCAAAAGCTCCTATACATGGCGCCGCTGCTTATCCTTACGGTTTTTTTAATTTCGGAAGAACCTCATTGGAAGCGCTTTTAATCTATACCTTTGACTCACTTTAGTTCTGTGACGCCAATTTGAAATGCGAGCTATTTTCTTATTAGAAAAAGTTTGCTTCATTACTGAAATTAGGTATAGGTACTGTTGTGTCGCAAATGTGTTCAAAAACGTTGAATGACATTAATGCGGAATTGGTTTTTACAAAGAAATGACTATGACAAACCTTCGACTTCATCTCGGGTTTACATTCGTCTACTCGTTTGTAACATAAACCAACTTACCGCACTAATATCATGAATAACTATTCTAGTAACAAAAAAAAACCTGCATGGGTATTATAACAATGTGATTAATAAAAAAAATGGGTGCGTGTACTTATGTAGGCGCGTGAGAAGTTATCCTTCTTTCGCATCGTTTAAAATTAGTTTTTAATTGCATGCAAATAATTAATTACAATAAATTAATAAAAAGTCTGGAAAGGACACAGTCAATAAAGTTCAGTTTTAATTTGAAAAAATAAATAAATAATTAAAATATTCAATTAAAATCGCTACTGAATATAATTTATTAGAACATATGTGATTTGCACTTGTATGAAACTCAAACACGTATTCAGAATATACAAACTAGAAACATGTGGATAAATATTATAAATATGAATACCTATAACTGTTACTTTATTACAAAAAATAAAGATGTGGTTTTTGGTTCTACTACACCAATGGTTAAGAGATGGCGCTGTAGCCTCCTGAATCGCGCTTTGGTTCCGTTGTTCCAGATTAATAAATACTTTTGATAGGCCTTCACAATGCAGTCGTTAGCATCCACTAAATAGAGATTCTATTTCTATTTTGTTGGTAGATTTTCTTAATGTGCGGTAAACACAAAAGTAACAGCATGAAGTTGGTCGCTAAAGCGACGCATCTTAAAATTTCACTCTCATCATTTTTTCATAACGCGCCTAAAGAAGTATAACTTCAAAAATCGGAGGAATATTTTTGCAGACTGTGAGCATGGAAAGGTGAACATTGTTTCTGGCGCCCGACAAGTATTCCGGGAAGCACGGAACCCTAATTACTAAACACGTGAAAATATTGCATCAAAATTATGTAATCAAAACGATAGGCCTGAACCCATGACTCTCGTATCAACGTTTAGGATAATGTTCTGAAAAAAAAACTATTCTCATCATTAATTAATGCGGTCAAGGACGCACTGATTACATGATAACCCTTTTTCGATGTAAGTTTTACCAAATGGTTGAATTGGGAAGTATATTCACTATACTATTCCTTTTTTGGGCCGCAACAGTACTGTTTTGTAACGTATGGATTTCTATGAAATAGGTTACTCATGTACTTAGTTCAGCAATGATGTCGATTCTGGTATGATTCTCTAAACCCTTAGATTAAAACAAAAAGGGAAGATACGGCACTCGCGGCTCAAAAGTGATCCGCTTGCACGATCACAATTCGCTGTAGTCACAATTGGACATTCAAACACGCTGCATGTACACTCAATATAACAATATTGAGTATATTCTGTGTTATAAAGATTGCCTTCGATGCTTTTATAAAGAACACAAAAAGTTCAAAATGAAATAACAAATGCCTCGGCAACACTTCTCATTCGTAAAACTGTAAAATCATTTTTTTCTCAAAAATCACGGTTTGTCGTGAATGTTATTTACGTAATCGCCATTTTGTTATCAAGAAAAGGACAACAATACAGCTCAGCCGTTCGCACTCGGAAGCTGCTCGCTCTGCGTTGAAGCGTACAGCGCTAGCTCGATTGAATGTTATTAACAGCCGTGTGTGATTGTGAGAGTTGCTTAAGTAGTTGAGTCGCAACATATTTATTTGATGCTAGTATGGGCGTATCGTATCTTCCTGCTTGTTTTAATCTTAGTCTAAAACTAAACTTAGACATCAATCTATCTTTGTTATTCTTTACAGAATGGAAAGGAGAGGCTGATCTTAAATTTAGTTTTCAGTTAAGAGAATCATATTGGAATCGACACCGATACCTCGATAATCAGCTACCTTATATTTAACTCGTCAACGGGCAGCGTTCTTTAAAATATTTTGTTTTGTTCTGTTCAGTTTTGAAGAAAAATATAAGCAGCCGGTGCATAGCATTATTTAGTGGCAATAATGAAGACAGGCTTATAAAACCTACAATATTATGGTGAACCATATTTTTTAAGATGAATGAATGCATAGGTAATTATTATGATGCATTCGTTGAAGTTTATGAACGCTCTAAGTTTGTAAAAATTTACGTTGTTCAGTAAATTCTATTTATCATCCTTTGTTAACTTTGTGAATCGCGTATAAAGGGCAAATGATTCAGCAATATATTATAACTTAATCCATAAGTGTGACATAATTTATCATTCTATTATACTTTAGTTGTTCAAATCATATCTATATATATAAAAATCAATTGTTGTTCGTTAGTCTCGCTAAAACTTGAGAACAGCTGAACGGATTTATCTTATCTTGGTCTTGAAATGTTCGTGGAGGTCTAGGGAAGGTTTAAAAGGTGAGAAAAATTCGAATTCTACACTACAGCTTTACACCGAAGCGAAGCAAAGGCAGGTCACTAGTACGGTATAAAAAAATTTCGTTTCAATTTTTCTAGATTAATAATATGAACAAAAAAAGGACAAGTGTGAGTCTGACTCGCCAACAAAGGGTTCCGTATAAATTTTAAGGTGAAATCAGCCGTATCCTTTTTACGTCCGGCCGTACGAAACAAAGAAATTTGTGTTTTCACAGCTTCCAAAGACCGTAGACCTAAGTTTATGGACAGACAGAGGAACAACAAAATTATCCTATATGGTTCCCTTTTTTACTTTTATGCCACGGAACCCTAAAATGCTTAGAGAATTCTGCAAACCAGTGATAAACACACAACTAAGTTTGAAAATATGTAGGAAGTCAACTTCTTTATGGCAATTACTTATTCTCTTTATTAACAATATTCAAAGTCCTCTTTGGAGTTTTTGTTTAGTGTTCTTCCATCTTTTATTAATATTACATTTTCTTGGCGTTTCGATGTGCTTTTTATTATTCTGTAGACACTTTCCCACATAGTTTCTTTTTCATGCTGGCCTCAAAAAGTCTTCCAGCTTGTGGTTTGTGCTTTGATTACCTCTGCTTCATATTTTTCTTTTGATTCTAAGTAATCTTTTATTACGAACTCTTTTCTGCTCTCTGCAGCGCATCGAATCCGTCGCTTTTTTGTGGTCATGTTCTTTTTCAGGGTTTGCAGCTCTTGGTTCCACCGTCCTTGGTTTTTTGGGTTTGGTTTTTGGAATGGATTTTTCACATACATATGTAATACAATTTCTGTACATAGTCTTCTAGATCTTCTTTATTTTTTATATTATTAACACTACACGTGTTAGTTTTATCATCTATAAACTTATCTTTAATATCCATTTCAAACGCCTCCCAATCTATTCTTTTAGTGTTGTATATTCTAGTACTTTTTGTATTAGGTGTAACTTCTATTTTCACTAAATGTTAGCGTGAATGTGATAGCATTATGATCGGAATTGGTTATACCTTTATTAACTTGCCAATTCTTATTTTTGGTATAAGTGATTCGGTGCGTGCTGTCACGTCCACTCTACTAGAGTAAAGCCTACCTCCTCTTACAACTTTAAAAATAGGTTCATAGCCCTCATTTAATATATACATTTCTTTCTGTTCCAGATATGCTGCCCGGTCTGCACCCCGATGGTCTTCCGACGAGCTGCCCCACCAAGTACTCCACGCGTTTGCATCACCTGCGATGAGCACCCTACATCCCTTCAGTTCGTTCAAGATTCTGGTAAGTTCACTAAGGTAAGGGCTTAGATCTTGGTCTGGTTCGAAATACACTGACACAAGAGCAACTTTGTTATTATTTCCATTTTCGGTTATGATTACTGTAGTTATGTTTTCTGTTTGAAGTGTTGGATTGATATTAAGAGCATTGTTAAATATTATTATGGCTGATTTGACATTTTTAGATCTATTGTTAGTTTTTTATATGACTCTTGTACCAGTGTATCTCTTTACCTCACCGATTGAGCCGATATACGGTTCTTGAACTAAAACTATACTGGCTTTTCTGTGTACAGCTTTGTTGATCAGATTTTCCGTTGCAATTTTCTGTCTTTGCAGGTTTGCTTGTATTATTAGATGTTTGGTACTCTGATCTCTGGTACTTGCTGCGTGGTAGTTCCCCGTGACAACTTTAGCAAGAACTTATAAACAGACATGCTATTCCGTCCCATTTTTGGCGGATTGGGCATCGGCTGTCAAACGCATTGTGATTGTGGATTTCTATTTTTGCGTCCTTGCAGTTTTTGCACACCGGTTCATTTTCGTTTTTATAAAGCGGATAGTCAACTTTCATATACGTTTCACCACAATGGGAGCATAGATTATGTTGCTACTTGCACAGTTTGCGGCCATGTCCAAAGCCTAAACATTTTGTGCATTGTATGACTGGTGATTGGTCTTGCACAGTGCGTTTTTGTATTAAGTTTTGTGATGTCAAGGATTCAGAAACATTACTTTATAATTTATAAATCAAATATTTAAATGAAAATAAACCGTATCGGCAGAACTTGCGACAGTGCATTTCATTATTAAAACATATAGCGTACCTATATAAAAGAAGCTTTACATTTATCGGACGTTCAATTACATTCTATTTGTGTTTATAACGTATCTATTGAGCAGTATGAGAGAAAAAAACGTTTTATCATACCCAATTCATTATGTGACAGATAACCCTGACCTAATTACGGATCTGCAAGTCACGTTCTTCTCAAAAAATATAGAAAAGCATTCAGATTTACGAAAAAAAATAACATAAGATTTTCGTTTACAAATCGTAGGGTTAAGACCCTGGATTTGTATTCGATAAGGTTGAAAAGATCCTGCATTTGGCGGTTATAACGTTGTACCTTGAATAAATCCTTCATTGCATTGGCTTATAAAATCTGTTAACTTGGACCTAAAACATGGATTGCTCAGATGCGTTTCTATTGATCTAGATAGGGGTGTATTTTGAAATATGGCACCACTGACCATTTACGATTTCCTGAAATCATATTAAATATAAGTAGTTCAGTATCTGACGAATGCCTTTGTATGCCGCCCCGGGTCATGACTCATATTGGCCCTTTGGCTCAGGCTTACGCTCTTGTCTAGATACTGTTGGTAAGTCATATGTTTATCATATTTTGAGAGAGAGTAGGCAATAGCGGATGTCCCGCTCAAATTGCGAGTGCCTGTCTAGAGAAGTAACCTCCACTTTACAAAAAAACATAGTACAATAACACTACCTTTTAGTGGTGTTATTTCTGTCGGTGAGTGAGGTACCATGGGTTCCACGGGTTAGGGGAATGGGTCAGGGTAGGCAATGGTGCGAGTGATATTTTTGGTATCAGGTATCGCAAGCGTCTAAAGGATATTACGTGGCCGGTTATATGCTCGTTTGCCATTATTTAAACTAAAAAAAAATACCCTAGAGTTATCACAAGTATTTCTATGTTTTATTTTATTTTATCTTTCGTACCAAAAAAACACTAATGGCAAAATCCTGCTAAATCAGTATGTTAACTGCGCGGCATCTATTGTCTTTTTGAGTTTGTGAGTTGTCGGCCACAGGGGCGTATTGAACCTAGGGCCAAGGGAGCCTTCGCCCCTGGCGGCATACTGCGAGGGCCACATAAAGGCATACATTACTGACCTATATTTTGATTTGATTTCCTAATTCTTGTGCAAATCGTAAGTAAGACGTAAGACTGCCCGGGGCGCCAGATTTGTAAAGACATCCCCGGTCACCCATGATTTCTGCTATTTTTGAGGCACATACTTTTTTGTACCCACTAATGAAAAATAAACTAGACGGAATTTATATAACAGAGCTCACTGTCGAAACAGTTGCAGTTAAAAGGTTGCTCTATTACTCCGTTAAACATTATTATTATGCTATTCGAATTTAAATAAACATCTTACCCCATCTATTCAGCAGAGTTTTCGTCGATCATTTTCCCTGAAACATAATATTTAGCGATTAGCTATGATATAAAGGACGTTTTTATAGGTACAGCTAATATACAGTAAATTATAGATTTACTCAACATACCAGAATTAACAAAATGTGTTTAGCCATCTTTATTCCGCGTGGCTTCTCATCTCTATCTTCTGTACCTCTCTTCTTTCCAAGAGCCATTTCCAACCTTAAATAAAAATTATCATTATATTTTAGTTATGGAGTGAGTGATGTTTCTGATTTCCTAAACTTAATTAACATCTATAAGTATGTAGCATCTTATATCCAGTTACTAGAGCTCCAAAGCACCGCAAACAGGGCCTACCCCTTTGTCAATACATATTAGGTGATTCGAGTGATACCATGTGGTATCGAAAACTTTAATGGTTTAATTAAGAGTTGCATCATAATTCATTTATTTACCACCGTTTTTATAATTAGTTAAATAAAATAATAATTAATATTTTTTTTACGGATTTTTGAGTATTTAAACATAAACACTCCTTTTGAAAAGTATCATTTCATTGACCTTGTGATTACAAATCACCTACACTTTTTGAATATTTCCTTTTCTCTACATTAGAACTATATTTTCCGCTTCCTTTGTTTGTATCTTCTACATGTTTACTGTTATTTTTTCTGTACCATCCTCTTAGTCTCTACTTTTCGTTGCCCACCAGCATTTCTGGATGCATCAAATCATAGCCTTGGGTGCGTGTGGGGAAATCCCATTTATAATCTTAATACCAAAGTCTATATAAATTACGCGTCACGTCGTTTGTACGGGATGGACTCTAAACTACTTAACCGATTTTAATCAAATCTAAAGAAAAGTTTACTAGAAAAAAAAATCCACGCGGACCAGGCAGCGGACGGGACTCGTCCGTCGTTTTTCTAGTAAACTTTTCTTTAGATTTGAACATCTAGCAGTTAAATGGATAAAAAATAAATAAAAACATAACGATTTCAATCAAATTTGCACACCGTGTGCAGTTTGAACCAATTTGAAAGATAGGATAGCTTACATCTCAATTTATAGTCGCAATTTTATTTTATTGCAAATTATTACTTTTGGGCGGTATGAAATTCGCAGAGTCAGCTAATTAGATGTAACGATCAAAGAAGCATTTAATGTAAACAAAGAGTTAAAAATATATAGTAGGTAGGTACTCAATCAAATGCTGTCTATCTTTCCCTTAATCACACCCTGACTACATCGAAGAGGAAGTAATTTGCAGACGGGATTGTTATCCTATCATTCAATAGATTAGAGAGTTGTATCAATTGGACAATTGTGAGGTCGTTACATATCCACTGTTTACTATTCGGCACCAGATCTTATGTTGCCCTCAATCAGGACACTTTGGATCCATGGATCCTTCTAGGCAATCATTATTTTGATTGATATTTGTTATTGTTAGCACTAGTGCTTTGTTTACAAACAATTGTGAATGAAACCGAATCCAGTTCCTGTACTTTCTCATTGTCAAACAGAAAATTTTTATTTCCTGAAGGCTGCCTTTGAACCTTATAATATCTTTGATATTAATGACTTTGATTTCATGTCTATGTTATTGTTGTAATGGGAATCTTCTTTTATAAAATGGGTGTAAATTGAACTTTCAACTTTTCAAAAAGCAGTTCATTTCTTCATTAGATTTCAAGCCCTGAAGTTATCACTTACTTTAAAATTATTTTAAAAATCTGAACATTTTCTGATTTAGGTTTGATATTTATATTTTTCTATTTTATTTATAATTACACATTTTTGTAAACCCTAAAAAATTTTGATTTGTGTTTATTTTACTAACAATTTTATGTTGTGTTGTCTCATTTGGTTTTGGAGTAGATGGAGTGCACTCAAGGCAGATTTTATATTGAAAATTTACTAATCATCATAATTTTTTGTATCTCTTTCACTGTTGTACATTGGTGGCAAAATCATAATAGATATATTTCTATTAAAAACTGCCAAAATACTTTCATGTTGAGGCAAAGACTATAGAGTTTAATAGGAGCAAAATCAGGTGTTCTAATCAAAGTAAAGTACACACTGACCTAGGTAAATTAAATTTAAACACTTGCATATTTTTATGCTTGGTTAATAAGATCTCATGTATATCACTAATTATTTTTCATAGTATACAAGATACTTTAAGGTAGATTAAGAAAACTACTAATAAACGATGGTAATTATTACTAAAAACACAGATACATAGGTTAAATAGATACAGGGAACAGTACAAATGTTACATTTCCTTTCAAATAATGCAAATTATATACAGCAGTTAGCATCAACTGTACTTGAGACGCAATAAGTGAACAATGATAGGTCACTCATTAAATAATCAATGATGACATGCAATTTGCAATTCTACTTGTACTTTTTTAGAAATGTACTGTCTTATATTAGAGTGGATATGAAATATGCTTTATTAGTAATGTTAAAATATTCTTTATAGCAGATGAATAAAATGGTGATTAAGTTTTTTATGTTCTCTGTTAATAAGTACTATATACAGTTTAACATCGGGTTACACATTCGCTGTGTTCGGTATTTGCATTCTTAATCTGATCATTAATCTGAGCAAATTGCAATTACGAGCAGTCCAAGCAACCGTAGATTAATTTCTAACCTCAAACAGAAACAAACCTTACAACCTGACAGATAACCAGATTAATCTTTCTCTTTGGTCAAAATCTCTGAGCGAACAGATTTACATCAGACTGATCTTAGCGGAATCACCAAATACTTTAGATTTGTGATTTAGACTAAAAATATTGTCCAGACCCA